GGGAACACCTTTGCGAGAAAGGAAGACACAGGTCATATATCTGTAAGAATCACAACCATAGCATGAAACATCTCGGTCAAAGATTAACAGAAGACTTTGCTCATGGAAAAAGTGTGAAGCTCCCCACTGGAAGTTTGGTCTTAGGATAGTTGGAAGAAATATTTTATAATGTTTACAAATGCGGGTTTCTTGGAGCTTAAAATAGCTTTTTATAGAAACAGTTCCTTAAATCTAATTAGTAATTACTGATCATTATCTCTTTTGCATAAATTCCCCAATACATTTCCTTGCTTAAAGCCCCTCATATAACTCTAGCAAATGAATGTCTGAAATAAACACTTTAAAACTACTGTATTTAGTCCACATCTTTAAAAATCAAAGCTCCAATCGTATTATAATTGCTTGTCTTCTTCTTTTTCCTGAGGCAAAACTATATATTTGAATGATGTCCCAAAAAACAAAAACAACACCCTGCTCAAATTATCCTCAGTGGGATTTGTGCTCATCAAAGATCGACCAGATTCCAAATTGTAGCTGACAAGCATTTTGTAGAGGTTTCCTCTTACTTACTTCCCAAATTTTTCATCATTTTTAAATGGTTGATCCTTATTTGGCCTGTTGCCATTTTCTACCTGAACTTCTCAACTCCAATGAATAACACTTCATTTCAGTTCTCCATTCAGCAGTAGTGCTTTCAAGAGATCGCCTAGCACATATGTAAATGGAGGTAAGGAGTGCACAGACAATCACGCCTCCTCAAAATTTTGCCAAAACAGAAGAGATTGCTTGGTTTCTTTCATGATACTCCTCATCTATTCATCCATGAATAGGTCTACTGTTAAGATATCTACTTTATGTCTCCAAAAAGTGGCAGGCAAGAACCAGGAACCTCAAGCCATGGCTGATGCCAGCTGAGAGACTCCCTTCTGGGCACACAGAAGACTGGGTAACTTGGAAGGCACTGAACAGACTGTGCTCTGGGACCACGAGATGCAGAGCTAACCTTAAGAAATGGGGCTTCAAAGTGGAGTCCATGCGAGTATGGAGAAGAGTAAACTATAGACCACCTGCCACATGCACCATGAAGGACCTTCTTATATCAACACCAGAGGCACTCCCAAGTGGCCAGTTACTGGTCAAAGGATATTTAGTATAATGCCAAGTTTTTAAACTTTGTGTTTTATAAATACATTAGAGCTGTATCATTGGTTTGCTTCTGATAAATAAACAAATACATTTTGGGATTAAAAAGAAACCCACTTGATAGGAGGGACCTCATCCCATTGAGGTCCACATGGTAGACGATAGCGGAGGGATTCTCCATGCAGTGTGCGAAATCCAGTGGGCAGCATGAGGAACCTGGAGCTCTGTGCCCCGCATTGCCCCTTACCTATCCCACAGGGCCCAGCTTCCCACATGTTCACCCCATTCTTCTCAATGAGAACATGGGAAACCACCTGTGTTCTCGTTGCTGCCCCTTATGATGATTTCACCACAGCTGAGACTGTTCACCAGGCAAAAGCAAACTGCTGCTATCCTCTGTGTTCTTCCTCATTACTAACTTTTGTCATTGCTAACTTTTGTCACCTTGATCACACTTCAATGTTGCTTGACAACATATTCCAGTTTTCACCTGTGAAATGGTGGAGGACATGGTCAGAAGTAAAGCACATGAACAAAAGGTTTAGAGTCTTTCCTGTGACACGTTCAACGCCATGCCAAGAGAAATCTGCCAAGCCCACTAGTTAATGGACACCCTTTTCAGTACTATTACTATTTCTAGGCACTCTAGTGAGTGCTTTTAAATAACCCTTTCAGGAATTGCAGGGTTAGAAGTGATGAACACGGATCTCTCTTTGGCAAAGTAACTTTAGAGACAATATAAAAATACCCTCCAGACTACAAGGCTAATATACGAGGGCTGAATGAAAAGTAATGCCTCCACCTTCATTACTTGGGTTTGGATGGGAACATTTTAAAAAATCATATGCAGAAATAATCCTTAGAATGTGCTCTTTAACTACCACTATTCACTTTTCACTTACTCTTTTCACTTACTCACCCAACGATGCACAGTACTCACATCAACACAATCATCATAGACAGCTTGCACTCTCTGATTAATCTCCTTTGGGGTGACACCTTTTCCACATAATCACCAGACAATTGGATGCATTTCTGCCAATCATGAGCAAGTTTTCTGAAGCCATCACGGTAGAAGTCGGCACTCTTTTTTTGCAACCAGCGTCTCACAGTTCTCTCAACGTACCCATTGTGCACAGATCTTCCGATAGCCAAGCAAAGCAATAATGTGACCCACACATTCTTGTGAAATGCTAATTATGTTTGAAATTTCTCTCTGAGTGATATGATGATTGTCCTGAATCAATCTGTCAACCATTTGCTTGTGAAACTTGGTGGTTGCTGTCACAGGATGTCCAACTCTTTGTTTGTCACGCAAGTCAGATGTTCCCACCTCAACATCTTTAAACTTACTCACCCAACGATGCACAGTACTCACATCAACACAATCACCATAGACAGCTTGCACTCTCTGATGAATCTCCTTTGGGGTGACACCTTCTGCTGTCAAGAATTCAATGACTGCACATTGCTTAAGTCGCATTGACTGACCATCTGCGCAGGGTTCTATACTTTGCACATTAACAACACAACCGTTCAATGCTAAGGCTTCCCGCCAAAATGGAACTGTAGAGTTGAGTCTACTAAACAAGCCAGTACCTGCCGCATACAAGTACCGCCATCTGTTGAGGAGTTACGAAGGTGGAGGCATTACTTTTCATTCATAGAATCATAGAGTTGGAAGAGACCTCATGGGCCATCTAGTCCAACCCCCTGCCAAGAAGCAGGAAATTTCCCATTCTTGCTTTGCCTCTGTCCACATGGTCTGAGGCAGTGCTAATACTGGGTTGTTGTTGGTTTTTCAGACTATATGGGCATGTTCTATAAGCATTTTCTCCTGACATTTCGCCTGCATCTATGGCAGGCATCCTCAGAGGTTGTGAGGTCTAATACTGTGTGCTGAACATGAAGGGCCTCTGAAGTTCAGTACAGTTGATCACTTGATGAAGTTGGTTAAACAGGCTACAACATTTCTCTGCTCCCAACTTCCCTGAGGTGTGCCCAGTGGGTGCCTTGGGAACTGTATAATTCCCTAAAATCTGAAAGCATAAGCTTTCAAGTGTTTTTTTCTTTTCTTCCCAGAGCATTTCCTAAGTTATAATTTAGAACAAAACACTTTTGGATTTTTTTGCAATTTGCTTAGCTGTTTGCAGATTCAAAGGTTCTTCCTCCATGACCACTCACATTTCTATATGAACATGACTTGGCTTTAGGGAAAATCTCATTTTTAGTATCTTAAGCTGCATTTCATTTCCTCCCTCAGCTATAATGTAAACCAATAATCTGTTTTGCTTTTTCTCCTCTCTCCTTTTCTAAATATCAGGGACAAACATTTCAACTGTATTTCAGAAACAGTCAAATAGAAAGACTCAACAAAACTGCAGCACTCTGTTGTTCTAACCGATCTGACAGATAAAACGTTGTATCGCTTGTGCTTCAGTGACAAAAATAGTTTGTTTCTTTTTGACCCTGTCACACTGCTTGACATCCTGCTTCCTAAAGAAATGTGGTAATCAAAATGAACAAAGTTCCTTTGGGTTCCGCTAAACCACCAGAATACAAAAATGTAGTGTTTACAAGACATGCATTCCAGACAAAGGAAAAACTATCCCTTTTTGAGGGTTATGTTTGTCAGACCACAGAGGCGCACGTAATAACATTCTCTTCCACATGAAGGCATTTGGCCAAATTCTCTAGTTTGAGAGTAAAACAACTCAGTTCAGATTTAAGAGACCAGCTCACTTACTTGGATCACAGAATCGTAAGATCTTAGAGCTGGAAGTGGCCTCATAGGTCCAACCCCCTGCTCAATGCAGGCTCTTCAGCTAAAGTATTCCCATCATGTAGCTGTCCAGCCAGTTCATGAAGACATCCACCTCTCAAGATAATTGGTTCTACTACCAAGCCATTCTTATTATCAAAAAGTTCCTTCCAACATTCAGTTCAGATCTACTCTTCTATAAGGGTCTCTTCCAACTCTTTGATCTATGATTCTATGATTCTATGATTCTAAGTTAAAACCATTTGACCTAGTCTTACCCTTTGGAGAAGCAGAAAACAAGTTTCTGTGACTGTTTAAGGCAGTCCCAAACTCAGGCCCCCAGGCCGGATAGCAAAGATAAAGGTTTCCTCTGACATTAAATCTAGTCATGTCCGACTCTGGGGGTTGGTGCTCATCTCCATTTCTAAGCCAAAGAGCCAGCATTGTCCATAGACACCTCCAAGGTCATATGGTTGGCATTACTGCATGGAGCATTACCTTCCTGCAAAGGTTGTACCTATTGATCTACTCACATTTGCATTTTTCAAACTGCTCGGTTGGCAGAAGCTTGACCTAACAACGGGAGCTCACCCCACTTCCCGGAGTCAAATTGCTGACCTTTTCATCAGCAAGTTCAGCAGCTCTGCAGTTTAACCCGCTGCACCACCAGGGTGCCACAGGCCAGATAGAGCCCTCCAAAGTCATTTACCCAACCCCCACCCTAAACCTTAGACTTAGGGTCACCCTAAGTCTGAAACAACTTTAAGGCACACAACAATCCTCATTAACTTGACTATTTCATGGGAAAAGGAAGGGGGCCTAGGAAGAGAAAGATAATCAACGGTTTAAATAAAATAAAAATAGAAAAATTCAAGGAATTAGAACTGAAAATAATAACAAAATGTTACAGAGCACCAATTCAGCTGGAACATATGATTCAAGGATTAAATCCCAAATGTTGGTATTGTGGAAGTCAGGAGGCATGGTATTCACATCTATGGTGGGAGTGTGAAAAGATACAAAAATTCTGGAGTCAAATTCTAAACCAGGTAGAATTACATACTAAAATAAAATTTGATATAAATATGCAATATGGTTTTAATCTGTTTTATTGTTTATGTGTTTTAATTGTTCATATGTTTAACTGCTTTATAATTTGATGGTGTGTTTTATTGTTTTGTCCACCCGGCACTGAATTTTGCTGGAGTTTGTAAGCTGCCTTGAGTCCCTTGCAGGGTGAGAAAGACCGGGTAAAAATGAAGTAAATACACAAAGCATTGATTTTAATTAAAGAGCAAGATGAAGGCAATTACTGGAGAAAAGCCAACATTTATATGTTTCTTGTGAACCATATTGCGCTGTTCAGAAGGGTTCATATCTGCAGCAGAGCACATACTCTGCATTTCAGATGATCCATCCCTGGCACTGGTCAATTTTAAAGAATCAGACATATGGAAAGAAAAGTCTAAGACTCAGCAGAACCACTGCCCATCAAATCAGTCCATAATAAGCATAATCACTGGTTCCCAACCATGGACCCAAGGAGGTTGCTGAACTTCAATTTCCAGAAGCCCTAGCAAGTATGGACATCAGTGTGAGATTCCAGGGTGCAATTCAACATCTGGAGACCCAGAGATTAACAACTGAGCTCACCAAATCACTGATGTGACAAAATGTGATATTTCACTGCGCATTGATTTGTTGCTATTTCTATGTCCAGAATGATTTGACTTATTGTGATCCTATAAATGAACAACTAAGATACCCTATCAACAACTGTCCTGCACACTCAGGGACGTGGTTTCCTTAAACAAATCAATCAGCCAGTAGCCTCCCTCTTTCCTTACTGTCTTCCAGATCTTCAGGCCCCTCTCAGTGGAAACGAACACATTGATTCATATCCTGTTAGTGACACAGGCAGGTAGGACTTCAGCTAACATCTTCATGAACACCTTCATGCATCCTTTTGTGGTACTGGTGAGGAGGCATTTACTACTTCCTTTGTGCAATGACTGCGCTGCATAAGAACTCTTCTTCTTGTCTTAACACATCAATCATTTCCTGTTTAAAGGGGCCAGTCAACTTTCATCTGCAATACAGGAAACGGAGTACATATGAAAAGCAGAATCAGTATTTTTAGAAACTGGGGTGGTTAGTTGCTGGAGGGCTGGGCTTTAGAGGTGTGGAATCCAGTTGAAATCCCCACACCACTTTATGCTTTTCCTTTGGAATCCCCATTTTTAAAAGTTATCAGGATTACATGCATTGCCCTCTCTCGTGCATGCAAAAACATTGGAGTAACATGGTTAAACCACAGAACAAATGGACTTACCCTACAGGAAAAGGATGAGGATGGGAAGCTTTGGGTCACCAGATGTTTTTGGAGTACAGCTCTCTCAAACCTTTACCACTGACCCAGGCCCGTAGCCAGGATTTTGATTGGGGGTGTGAGTTTGATTCGGGGGGGCCTGAGTCTGAGTGAAAGAGGGTCTACCCTAGCAAACCTTTCATATCGTTACCCCAATACCCCCATGCATATGAGATATATTGAGCATGGTGATCAGATCATGGTATGATCTGATCACCATGGGTCACCATTATCCCAGGGAGAAGCGCAACAGAGTTCTTGCAACCCTGGAGAAGGTAGGAAGTGGTAGGCGCCATGGCAGTCCCCTCGGTCTTAAGGTCCTGCTGATCAATGCCAGATCCGTTAATGGTAAGACCTCTGCCATTCAGGACCTGATTCTGGATGAGAGAGCGGATCTGGCATGCATCACAGAAACCTGGCTGGATGAGCTGGGGGGAGTAAATCTCACCCAGCTGTGCCCACCGCGTTTTGGGGTGCATCAGCAGGCCAGACAAGGGGGGCGGGTGACCAGATGCACTGTACCGCAAGCTCCTGGGTTTGAGTGTGTCCACCTGAGGGTGGGGAACCGTTACAGTGTGGGGTTTCTGCTGGTGTACCGCCCACCCCACGACCCAGTAGTTTCCCTGTCTGAGCTAGCAGAGGTGGTCTCTAATTCGGCCCTGGTCTCCCAGTGCTTGGTGGTGTTGGGAGATTTTAACATTCATGCTGAGGCCTCTTTGTCTGGCGCAGCTCAGGATTTTATGGCCGCCATGACGACCATAGGACTGTCACAAATTATATCAGGACCCAGCCATCAGGCTGGACATACTCTTGACCTAGTTTTTGTGGCGGACAGTGGAATGATCAGAGTGGAAGAACAAAACATCCTCCCAGTGTCATGGTCTGATCACTATCTGGTCAGCTTTAGGCTTGCTGCGACCCCCACCCTTCGCAGGGGTGGAGGACAAATTAAGATGGTCCGCCCCAGGAGAATGATGGATCCGGATGGATTCCTGAGGAATCTTGGGGTTCTTCCTGCCATGGAACGTGGCGATCCTGTTGACACCTTGGTCGACCTTTATAATAAGGAGATGTCCAGGGCGATAGACACGATCGCTCCCGAACGCCCCGTCTCGTTGCGTCATGACAGGCCGTCTCCTTGGTTCACCGAGGAGTTGGCTGCGATGAAGCACACGAGAAGGGGGCTAGAGCACAAATGGAGGAAATCTCGGGACGTGTCTGATCAAGCACGGGCTAAGGCCTCTCTTAAGGCATACTCCATGGCTATACGGGTGGCCAGGGAATCTTTCACGACCGCCCGAATAGCGTCTGCAGCAAATAGGTCATCAGAGCTGTTTCGGGTTGTCGGGGAGCTCCTTCACCCACCTGTGGTGGACGAGATCTCTGACGACCCAGCAGCTCGGTGTTGCGATTTCGCACACCATTTTGCAGGCAAGGTTGCCCAGATACGTCTTGAGCTCGACTCCAATTTCATCGCAGTGCCAGAGGAGGTGACTGAGGCATCTGCTTGTCCAATTTTGTGGGATTCTTTTCGGCTTGTTCTTCCTGAGACCGTGGAGGAGGTTCTTGGGGCTGTGAGGGCGACCACTTCGGCCCTAGACCCTTGCCCATCTTGGCTTATTAAATCGGCCAAGGAGGGGTTGGTTGATTGGTTTGTGTTGATCATTAACGCATCGTTGGAGCAAGGGATTTGTCCATCTAATCTGAAACAAGCTGTGGTTCGCCCACTCCTCAAAAAGGCTTCCCTTGACTCCATGGTTCTGAGCAACTACGGGCCATTTTCCAACCTCCCTTTTTTGGACAAGGTGCTGGAGCAGGTGGTCGCCTCTCAGCTCCAGGGATTCCTGGATGACATCGACTACCTGGACCAGTCACAGTCTGGCTTTAGGCCTGGTCAAGGTACCGAGACGGCTTTGGTCGCCTTGGTGGATGACCTCCGCAGGGAGTTGGATGGGGGAGTGTGACCCTGCTGGTTCCTCTTGGACATCTCAGCGGCTTTCGATACCATCGATCATGGTATCCTTCTGGGTCGGCTCTCTGGAATGGGTCTCGGGGGCACGGTTCTGTCGTGGCTCCGGTCCTTCCTGGAGGGACGAACCCAGATGGTGAAGCTGGGAGATGCCTGCTCGGACCCCTGGCCTTTGACCTGTGGGGTCCCGCAAGGCTCTATTTTATCTCCCATGCTTTTTAACATCTACATGAAACCGCTGGGAGAGGTCATCCGGAGTTTTGGAGTTGGGTGCCATCTCTACGCAGATGACACACAACTCTACTACTCTTTTCCACCTAATTCCAAGGAGGCCTCTCGGGTGCTAGACGAGTGCCTGGCCGCTGTGTCCATCTGGATGAGGACGAACAAGCTGAAGATCAATCCCGACAAGACAGAGGTCCTCCTGGTCGATCGTAAACCAGACCGGGGTATAGGGTGGCAACCTGTGTTGGACGGGGTTACACTCCCCCTGAAGCCACAGGTCCGCAGCTTGGGAGTCCTCCTGGACTCATCGCTCACGCTTGAGGCTCAGGCGTTGGCGGTGGCCGGGAGGGCTTTTGCACAACTGAGACTTGTGCGCCAGCTGCGCCCGTACCTCGCTAAGGTTGATCTGGCCGGGGTGGTCCATGCCTTAGTCACCTCTAGACTGGATTACTGCAATGCGCTCTACGTGGGGCTGCCCTTGAAAACGGCTCGGAAATTCCAATTGGTCCAACGGGCAGCAGCCAGGATGTTAACTGGGGCCCATTACAGAGAGAGGTCAACCCTCCTGTTTAAGGAGCTCCACTGGCTGCTGTTTATTTTCCGAGCCCAATTTAAGGTGCAGGTGCTTACCTACAAAGCCCTGAACGGTTTGGGACCACCCTACCTGCGTGACCGCATCTCTATGAACCCACACGCTCACTCCGGTCATCAGGAGAGGCCCTGCTCGTGATCCCGCCCGCGTCACAGGCGCGTTTGGTGGGGACGCGGGACAGGGCCTTCTCTGTGGTGGCCCCCCGCCTCTGGAATGCCCTCCCGAAAGATCTCAGACAGGCCCCTACTTTGGCGGTTTTCAGAAAGAACCTGAAAACCTGGCTGTTCCAACGTGCCTTCTCAGATTAGGAACCCCACTACCAAAGCCCAGAAGCACTTTAGTAGAGTCAAGATCACCCTCACCGCACACTGCACTTATATTTTAATCCCATATCCCTCCGACACTTCAGCACTTTTTAATCCTGTACCTTGCTCCGGCCGGCTCAGTTTTAATAATGTCCTGTTGTATTGCTATTGCTGTTGTTTTCTGCTTTAATTGTTTTTATTTGCTATGTATTGTATTGTTGTATTGTGTTGGGCTCCGGCCTGTTGTAAGCCGCATCGAATCCCTTGGGAGATGCTAGCGGGGTACAAATAAAGTTATAATAATAATAATAATATGAATAAACATAACAGTTTAAATAATGTACAAGTAAGGCCTTTTCGCAGACCACCATGAGAATTTCAGGGGGGCTGAAGCCCTCCGGGTCCCCCCCCCCCCGGCTACATGCCTGACCATAGTGAAAAGGGATGATGAGAAATGTAAGCTAAAAGATCTAGCTAGATGTTCTCTACTTCTGAATTAACAGCTGAAGATATTGAAAATATTCAAGATTTTCCATACCAAGGCCAGACATTGATTAGAATGGAGAATGAAGTCAGGAAACCAGAAGACTGAGAAGGTGCTATGAAAATCCTTGTGAACCATGTGTCAAGATATACTACTGAATACTAAAGTTAGGATCATTTGTACTATCATATTTCCCTTTTCAATATTTTTTATGAAGGCTAAGCAGTGAAGAGAGCTGAAAAGAAGAAAAACAACTCATTTTAAATGTGGTGCTAGGGAAGAGTTCTTGAAACAATAAAACCTGAACTCTCTCTAGAATCAAAGCTGACTAAACTGAGATTGTCATGCTTTGACCACATCATAAGAAGACTTACCTCGCTACGAAGGGCAGTAATGAAAACCTGGGTGATTTTCATTGTGTGCTTGAGCATTAGACTATGACTTTGGAGACTAGGGCTTAGCTCCCTGCTTGGCTATGGAAACCCACTGAATGACCTTGAGTGAGTCACACTCTCAGCCCCAGAAAACCCATTATAGTTTCACCTTAGGGTCACCATAAGTCAGAAACAATGCAAAGGCACCCAACAACAACAACATTAGAATGCAGTAGTACAAGAGGATAGACTCAATCAAGGAAGCTATGACCTTGAATTTGCAAAGCCTGAACAGGGCTCTTGATAACAAGGTGATTTGGAGGCCTGTCATTCAAGGGGTCTCCACAAGTCAAAGCCAACTTGATGGAAGTCAACAACAACAACATCTAAGTGGGAATGACAGTGTCTCGTTACAACATTGTGGGATGAAGCTGCCCCTTCACCCAGCTCACCCCATAAGTTCCTGGTGCCAGAATTAGAGAATTGGACTGTCCTTAGGTTCATACATACCATAGGAGAATCTGATTGTTTAAACGTACTTGTGTAATGTATTTGTCATACATGCATATTCCCACATATATTTGGGCAGCCATTTTACTCAAGTTTTAAAAGTTAAAAGTGAATGAGCTATTAGCTATGAAATACAGGTAAGGAATATCAAGCAATTGACTTGTTCTCAGCCTGCTTACCTTGCATTGTTGTTGGCAGGCTAAAACCCTGCTTGAAGCTCCTAGAGAAAACAATGGAACACAAATATAATTAAAACATAACATTACATTCATATAGGGAGGAGATATCAAAACCCAAGACAGGAATTAAGAAAAGGAGCTTAAATAAAGTGTAGCCTAGTTAAACTTCTTGGTAGATAATTTAAGATGTTGTAATTGCATAATAAATAATTTTATGAGTCCAGACTCGCCCTCCATTAGCAGTGACTCAGATACTGTTGGTCTCACATCAAGAGCAGATATCTAGGAAGAAATGAATTAAAACGCCAGTCCAAGTCCTGTAGTTATTATTTCTGTAACATTAACATTCATGATAGTTTTCTGAAAACAAGAGAACTGGCAAGGAATGATTATCTTTTCCTTACAGCTGTTTCCCCACCACCACTACCATTTTAAAAGCTAGATTCACTGAAAGGTCATGAGGGTTTCCTATTGAACACTCACCCACTCTCTTTTTTGCTCTTGCTTTAAAATGAAGATTGAACAAGTTGTCCTGCCCAGGGCATCTAGCAGGACATTTGGAAGACGATTCTTTGCTTATTTACATAGAAAGTTGTAAAGCAGTGCTTTTGGGTTGGAAAGATTAGCTGTTTACAAGAAATGTTGCCCAGAGGACATCCAACTGTATTTACTCAGTCTTCGAGGAGGCTCTTTCTGTGACCCCCACCTTAGGGTCAGCACAACCTTAAGGGCAGCAAAATCAGGCAATTCCAACTGGATGGCTCCCCACGAGGGTCTTCCTCCAGGGACAAACCAAGAATGGGCAACTTGGAAGTCCCTGAACAGAGTTAGAAGTGGAGTGGCAAGATCAAAAGACAACCTGGCAAAATGGTACTACTTAGAAGAATCCTCCAACTTGTGCGACTATGGAGCAGGACAAACAACTCCACATCTCTCTGCTTGTCCGAAATGTCCTGCCTCATGCACAGAGGAAGAATTGTTGAAAGCTACAGACAATGCAGTTGCTGTTGCTCATGATCTAAAACTATCTAGCAACTTGTGATCTCTTTATTTTATCAGTTTTAGATAAATTATTTTATGCAATGTGTTTGACACAAAATTAAACATTATGTAGAAAATTATTCCCAAGTAAACGAGCATAAAGCTGAGGTCTCGGACTTGTTTCCTACACAACAACATCAATAAAGCCATTCTGACATACTTATCATTTCATGTCCTGACATAGTCTTTTGACCTCTTCTATCAAATCACATCTCTTATAGCCTTACAGTGATGCTGTTGTTGTTTTTCACCACTGAATGTATCTATGCTAAACTGCATCCCCATTTGCCTTTGCATACAATGGTTCCACTTGTTGCTGGTCTGTTTCTAGACACAATATGAAGTGCTGATTATGACCTATAAAGCTCTATAAATCTCAGAATGACTGTCCCATATTAGCCTGCCTGTGTTTTGAAATATCCTGGTGAGATTTCAAAACACAGATTTCAAATCTGTCCAACCACCCTCACGACTGATGCCCATCTGAGGCCCATCTGATGGAGATATGGAAGAAGACCTTTTTGGTCGCTACTCCCAGGTTCTGGAACTCGGTTTCTACAGCAGTTAGACTGGTGGACTCCCTGCTGTATTTTTGTAGGCAGGCAAAGACTTTTGCTTTGCTTTAACAGGCCTTTGCTGGCTGAAAAGATTTGTCAAACCGTGCGGTACGATTTTGCCTTTAACTGCTTTTAATTCTCTTGTTAGTTTGATTACATTTTCAAGTTTTGTATGACATGAATTTTAAGCTGTGTCTGTTCTAATCTTTGCAAGTTACCTTCAGTCCCAGCTTGGGGAAGAGATGGGATATAACCATAATCACCAGAAATAACAGGAGCCCCCGGTGGTGTAATGGGTTAAACCATGCTGGCAAGACTGCTGACCAAAAGGTCAGTGGTTCAAATCCGAGAATGGTGAGCTCCTGTCTGTCAGCTCCAGCTTCTCTTCTGGGACTTGAGAGAAGAATCCCACCGGATGATAAAACATCTGGGCATCCCCTGGGCAACGTCCTTGCATACAGCCAATTCTCTCACATCAGAAGCAACTTACAGTTTCTCAAGTCACTCCTGACATGAAAACAAAACCAGCAACAACATGATTAACGAAGTATACACTCCCTCTCACCGTGCTCCAAATGCTACTTCATCACACTAGAGAATGAATCCACTTTAAATCTGGTTTCTGACTCTTGCAGAATTGTAGGGTTTGTAGTTTAAGGAGGCTGTTAAAAGCTCTCCCTAAACTACAAATCTCAGAATTCTGCAGGAGGGAACAACCAGATTTAAAGTGGATTCATTCCACTGTGATGAGGTCTCATGAGAGTATTTTCCATTTTAATTGACTTTCTATAGTTGCATGTTTTAACTCTGTGCTATATTTATGTTTTAATAGAAGTTTGCATCTTTTTAAGATCTAGAATACTATAAGTTATCATTTTGCTGGAAGTTATCAAAGCATGAGACCCTCCAAGGTCGGTGTTAGTCTTACCTAGGCTAACTGAATGGAGTTTCACACCAGCCTCTTGGGGGATAGTAAACTGCACAATAAAAAGCAATTTATATTAGAGAGAGAAAAAGAAAGAGAAGGCCCACGAGCAAGTGCCTGTGGTTCTCTATCTGTGCCTGCAGTGCAACTTGAGCTGTCACTTGGTGCTTTGATGCTTGCCTTTTCCAGCCTCTCTCTCTCCCTCCCTCCCTTTTTAAATCCTAAATTGTCTCCCTTGTCATCCCTCTTCCCCACCTCCTTGCGAGATAGCTAACCTCATTGTGACATCATGCACCTGCCAGTCACGCAGAGTTAAAAGTACCCTGAGCACAGCCCCGTCAGGCTCCGCTGCAAACTGACGCAAATGAAACACTTCTGCCTGGCCCTGCAGCTGCCGCAGACTGCTCTGACCGAAGCCCCTTAATGCCACTGGGGAGAGCTGGAGTGGGGTGGGGTGAGTCAGCCTGCTCCAGAGCCGCCTGGTATTTTAGATAATCAGCCTACTCTTTTAAACGGGAGCCAGTGCGGCAGGCGGCAATGCTTGCCTAGGTCAAGGAGAAACTGTTCTCTCTCCCGCTCACACAGCTAATGTTGGCCTGGCAAATGCCACTGCGCCACTGAACAGCTTAGCCAGCTCATTCTAAATCTATAGCTCTGTGCATGACACACTTCAGGATGAGTGCCATCACTTTAAACTTCAATGCCATTGCTTTCTTATTCAAAGTTGATTTTTGTGGCCTGGGCCATACTGAACATGCTTTTCTAGGTAGCAGGTGAAAATGCAGGTATTACAGACAAATATTTGTAATTAACCAAACAAATTAAACATTAATGGAGCAGTCCACTGCACATCAGTTCTAGGGATGTGATTCATCTGAAAACCCACAGTTGACAAGGTTGCAGCAGTCTTTCCCCCTTCCCCAGGTTTGCATGCTCTGGCAGCAAGCTGGTTGTTCCTGCACAAAATGAAGGCAAAAACAGCATTGCCTCTTCCCCCAGAATCCAACATGGAACACTCATGACTTTTTGGTGTGTGTGTATGTATATATGTATTTGGAAGATATGTGCTTCCTATGTGTCATTCTGTTAACTGAATAATCAGAAGGGAATGAGAAGGTATTCATAACCAGAATTACTGGGCAGACTGGTGGAAAGATGAAAAAAGAGGAAGGTGAGCCTGGTGTCGTTCTTTTTACTTCCCTTCAAAGGAACTGAAGAAAGATTTCACTGGACTTTACATACTTCAAAGTGCAGAGGGCAGAAGGGGACATTAGGAAGATAGATGAAACTTCAAACCATACAGGGAAGTGTCTCTTAATAAAGCTGCAGTTGATAGCCATTTTATGCAGCTCAGGGCCCTTCGACAAAGAAGCAAATTGCAGGAGAAACTGGGATATTTAATGCCAGTTCCTCCGGGGATTGAGGCCCCACATTCACCCCAAACCCTAGACTTTCCCTGAGATGGTGGCTACATGGCCTCCCAAGTCAACAGAGGTTGCCCAGGAGGGCATTCAGCAAGCTCCCCGCCCCCCCATCCCTCCCCCCCAAAAAAAACCTATGTGAGGGGCTTGGCTGCATGCTCAGGCCCATCTAGTGAAAGCTACTGGTACGCAAAAATGACACATTGGGGAACCGGAGGAATTTGCATATTGTTAGTTATGAATAAAATGTTTGCTGAAAACATGATGAATTGTGGTCATTTTTGTTTTGAGATGTTGGAACCATTCTTTATTTGTGTGTGTGTGTATTATTTCTGCCCTTGGTACCAAATTTTCTGCTAAAGAAGTAATGCTCAGGAATACATCTATTTCACTGAGATATGTTTGGATAGGATTGGCATTTTAAAAATGCACAAGTGAAGTTCCTAAGGGAATGTGAGGGCAGCAAATATAAGTTCTATCTGTGAATGATTGTTTATATTCTACTCTTTGCAAAGCTAGAAATTTGAAGATTGGAGTAAACTTTCATTTGAAGGGAGCAATTTGAGTTGGCAGGGACAGTCCTGATTGACCCATTTTTTCAGATGCTTTTAAAATATCCCAGTTGCTTTCTCCTCCCACTTTCTCCCCTTGCCCTAAACTTGTTGTTCTTGATTATTTGTTCATTCGCTTCCGATTCTTGGTGATCTCATGGACCAGCCCGTGCCAGAGCTCCCTGTTGGCCATCACCACCCCCAGCACCTTCAGAGTCAAGCCAGTCACTTCAAGGATACCATCCATCCATCTTGCCCTTGGTTGACCCCTCTTCCTTTTTCCTTCCATTTTCCTCAGCATCATTGTCTTCTCCAAGCTTTCCTGTCTTCTCATTATGTGGCCAAAATACTTCATCTTTGCCTCTAATATCCTTCCCTCCAATGAGCAGTCAGGCTTTATTTCCTGAAGTGTGGACTTGTTGGACCTTCTTGTGGTCCAAGACACTCTCAGAAGTTTCCTCCAACACCACAGTTCAAAAGCATCTATCTTCCTTCACTCAGTCTTCCTGATGGTCCAGCTCTCACATCCAGAGGTTACTACAGGTATACTATTGCTTTAACTATGCGGATCTTCGTTGCCTCACTCAAAAGTAGTTTGCGATTAACCTAGCAGGAAGGAGAGGGGTGGAAACTTTCCATTCCCAGTTGGCTCACACAAAAGTAAACTGCTGTAGCTTTTTCTAGTTTGTATGTTCTTCCCTATGAAAGACATATTCCACCTTGACCACACTCTGAGATTGATTGGCCACATGTGTCCTGGTTCTCATGTATGAAAAACGGGATGGTATACAATGGCCAACCTCCTTTAAATAGATATTGCACAAAACACACACATATAACCTGTGACACAAATAACCTGTTGTCGACTTGGCACATAACAACAAAGTTGAGACATTAGTGCTAGGTTCTTGGATGTGTTGATGCATCTACCTGGAAGCAGATAACCTATGTGATATTTACAACATTGGCTTAACTAGCTGAAAGAAGCATTTTACGAAAAAAAGAATACCTGAAATCAGAATTAAAATGAAGTCGAATTCAACCTGGATTCCTCCAAAACTCAGCACGAAGCCATGCTGGCTGAGAGTTACACACTAAAAAAAATCAAATTTCCATGTTCTGCCTTATATAACAGAAGGAGCTTCTTAAAGAAACAGAACACACCACTTACATAGAAGTGACCTATGGACAATTCTCTGTTCATATGTGTTTCATAAAGTGACCTTACATCTTGGTTTTATAAATATGAGCAAATATAAGGGGACTATTTTAGTTTAGCCATAGCAGAGCACCATCTGCTGGAACTGTGAAATGTGTGCTTATCCACAGACAATAAGAAATATCGAAAAAAAGAGTGATTTGTTTTAAGTTTCACCACTAGACCATCTGGGCCTTCAGCCAGGTTTATGACAAGCAGAACCTCAAAGAGTGAAAATTTTCCATCTACTACTGATGAGAAAAGCTTTGCCTGCTGACTTTTCTCATTTCATGCAGCTCTTAAAAGGCAAGGGAGTCCTATCAGAAAGAAAATTATGAACCCTAGCTGGAACATAATTGGGAATTTTGGGATATAGAGAGGAGTGTTGCTTGATTGTTTAATTTTCCATGCTTGGGGTATGACCTGACTTCGCTTCAAGGAGGGATAAAAGTTTGCACAGATTTCATAACCTCATTGTATGATAACTCCAGCTCAATGTAGGTTGCTACACTTAAAACTATGCCAGTTGTTGTTTTAGGATGCTGCTGGAGCAGAGTGGTTAAGAGCATTTACATTGCACAATGAAGGCAGTCTGACACCATTTTAACTCACCAACTGTAGTCTGGTGAGGCACCACCACTAAAGACCTGGTACAATGACAATCTCCTTGACTCCATAGTATTGAGCCATGGCAGTTAAAGTGGTGTCAAACTGCATTAATTCTACAGTGTAGAGGCACTCCTAAGGAGCTAGAAGTCTCTGGTTCCAATGCCAGCACTGACCTCACTGAAGAACCTACATCCAGATGTTTTGGACAACAACTCCCATCAGCTCTCTGTAGCATGGTCCAAGATAAGGAATTCTAAGAACTATAGTCCAAAGCAATTGAAATGCCAACAATTCCTTATCCATGTCCTAGAGTGCATCTAGACTATAGAATTAATGATGTTTGGCATCACCTTAACTTCCATGGCTCAATTCTATGGAATCCTAGGATTTGTAATTTGGTGAGGAACCCACACTCTTTGGCAGAGAAGGCAGAGTAGGCTCATAGAACCACAAATCCCATGATTTCATACCACAGAGCAGGCATGGGCAAACTTTCTACCTTGGGGGCTCCATGGTGGGCCAGAGCAGAGTGGCTGGGCCAGGAGGGAGGGGGTTTTCCCCAAGTCCCCTCCCTGCTCTTTCCTCCCCTTTCTCTTCTCTTTTGGGGGCAGAAAGTGAAGAAAAGGGAGGAAACGTTTGGAGCCTTGGTCAGGATAAGATGGTGGACGGAGAGAAAAAGTGTATCCATTAGATCCCGTATTGCCTACTTGTGATCTAGAATCCTAGTACTGGAAGAGATGCCCAAAAGCCATCTAGTTCAATCCCCTGACATGCAGGAAGGCACAATTAAAGCACTCCCAATAGGCAACCTCTGTGGAAAGGCCTCCAGAGAAGGAGACTCCACCACATGCCGAGGCAACCTGTGCCACTCTCCAACAGCTCTTACTCTCAGGAAGTTCTTCCTAATCTTTCTAGGCTGGATCCAGGCAGGCCTTTATCCCAGGAGAATCCATGTTTAAAAAACGCGGATTTTCCTGGGGGCCTGTCCACACCCACACCAGAAAGCACGCAGATTCTGGGGTGAGTGTCCAGACATTCTCTCAGGACTAGCCCAAGAGAATGTCTGGAGGCCCTACCCCTTACCCCCAAGCCCCCAGACCCCTTAGAAAAATAATAAAAACTTTCCCATTCCTCCATTACAAGTCTCAGCCGGTTCTCCCAGTATGTAGAAATGACATGCCAGGAGAGTGCAGGGGGGAACAATTTTCCTCCCTCCTCCCCTCCCCTGCTTTCCTGGCGCATTATTTCTATGCAGTGGGAGAGCCAGCTGAGGCTTACAATGGAAGATGGGTAAGTTTTTATTACTTTTCTAAGGGATCTGGGGGCTTGGGGGGAGAAGGGTGGTTATTCCCACAATTTACTGGGCTTATTTAGCCCGGTAAGCTGTGGGAATGGTGTCCGGACTGTAGTCCAGACATTGGACATAGTGGATTTATCCCACGCCTTCCAAGAAAGTGCAGAGTAAATCCACTATCAAATTAATTTGTTATAAACCAGGGTTTTCCTGGTTTGCAGCGAATTAATTCGGGACTGTCCAGAACATTGTCTGGACAGTCCCTCCTTTATTGTGGTAGATACTACAATCAAGGTTATGTCTGGACGGGCCCTCAGTCAAATCTCTTTCCTGCCATTTGAACCCATTGCTCC